GATGGACATCCCCCGAGGGCTCCTGGGCTGTGAGAAGGTGCAGGCCGGGCTGAGGGACCCTTCCAGGTGCACAAATTTTTATGCATCAGGCCTTTAGTTTTTCAATATATGGCAAAACCATTGAGGCTGTGGGAAACACCCATATCCTTTTGGCAGGAAATTCCAATAATAGACAATCAGCAAAAATCTATATATGATTAACAAGTGGAGATTGCTTTAACTACCAATGTCTCAACTAAACAATGAATGAATAGCTCCGACCATTCAGAGCAATTAAGGTTGACCAGCCTTCCGGATTCCCTTTTCACATTTCTCTATTAGTGACAATGTTCGGTTTCTGGCAGGAGAGGGAGAGGGGGAGAGAGATGGAAACTCTGATGAGAGGGAATCATCATCAACTGGCTGCTTCCTGCATGCCCCCTACTGGGGATCGAACCCACCAACCCAGGCATGTGCCCCCACCAGGAATTTAACCAGGGATCTTTTGGTTCCTGGGGCACCGCTCAAATGTTGAACCATACCAGCTGGGCAGATGTCTACATTTTTTTATTTCCTGTCTCTCTCTGGTGTAATTACTTCTAATTCATCTTGCAAGCAGGATTGCTCTACATAACAAAAGTCAGAGTGGACAGAATTGATTTGAAATGGGATGCAGTTGAATTTTACAGCTTATTCAGGGTCATTATTGATAAATTCGGGAGTGAACCTTATGGCCCTGGCTGGTTTGGCTCAGTGGATAGAGCATCAGCCTGTGGACTGAAGGGTACTGGGTTTGATTCCAGTCAAAGGCACATGCCAGGGTTGCAGGCTCAATCCCCAGTAGGAGGCAGGCAATCAGTGATTCTCATCATTGATATTTCCATCTCTCTCTCCCTCTCCCTTCCTCTCTGAAATCGATAAAAAATATATATTTTTAAAAAGGAGTGGACCTTATGCCTACACAAAGCTCAGAAAACTAGACCAAGAGCAAAAAAGCAGAGGTAAGAAATGGACTCTTACTATTTCATCTTAGTATAAATTATGGTAAGCAGTATTACCCTAATGACGATGTAACAAAGAGAAAGACATTAGAAAATTACGTAATCACAGAATGGAATATTATGATACATTATAATGTGCAGTATGGAGAAGAAAATGGGAAACATGTTGACCCTTAGTGGACTTTCATCAGTTAGGATCTAAAAGAAACCGGCAATGAGGAAAATAGTGCAGTTGGCATCACCTCACATTCGTTCCTTTCTCAATGCCAGCTCTCATTTTAGTGTTTGAAATGTGAACTCTGAGAGTTAAAATGCCTAAGTTCAAATCCATTTTCCACAGTCAGTATTAGCTGAGAATCCTTGGACAATTTAGTTAGTCTCTCTGTACCTCAATATCCAGGAAATGAATAATAGCGTGCACTTCAGGGGTGCTTAGAAAGAGTCAATAAGAAAACACATATAACTTAGAAAAGTGCCTAGCTTGTAGTAAATTCTTAAGTATTAATTCCTTTTAATGTTATTATCTTATTATTTTTTTATTCACTGAGTTTGAAATCCGTGGTGGTGTTCTGGCTGAGAAGGATGTGTTCAGGAAGTTTCTGGGCAGACCATTTTGCTCATATTGTGAAAATTTGCTGACAGTGGCTATTATTCTTTCAGAAAAGTAAGGTTCTCTGCCTGGCTGCCATTCTCATCTATTCAAATAAATGCACTATAATTTGGTCATTCCTAGTACATCTTGGATATTCTTGCATTTATAAATTAATTCATTACTAGTGATCACACTTTGGGAAATAGCCACTCACCTGTGAGAATATATTAATAAAACTAGAGTTAAATTCAGCATTTACTAGCACCCTCATTTTACAGAACATACATTTCAAATTTTGAAAATACCTATTTGGCCCAGTGCATATTTCTTTCTTTCTCATGACTAACATTCTGCTTTTTTCATTATTCGGTATATATGAGCTGACTAATAATAAATCTGATAATTTTTTCATTAAAAATGTTGCAGTTCTCAAACTGTTATTAATGCTCAAAAAGTAGAGAAACGAATAAATCACTTTGGTGAAAGTGTAGGAAAGCAAGGACAAGGGCATCGTTTAAAAAAAATATTCTCAGATAAATCATTCTTCGAGAGACTTAAAAAAACATGTCATGCAAGACACACCCCTTTGCTTTTATTCCATTTTTATCATACCAATCTCCCTTGCAAAATTGAGGTTGTTCATAAATATTTTCCTTCCAGGCTGTGGGAAATAAGTCTTGAGTAACTTTGGCTCTTTGATAAAATTAGGTTAGGAGACTGCTTATCATTGAAACAATGAACACAAAAGCAATTCAGTCCTGGGGCCTCTGAAAAACTCCTTAGCAGCCCAGGCGGTGCTCCTGCTCCTTGTTCTCAGGCATTCCAGGGGAGTGGCCAAGGGACAGCCAGCACAAGGAATTTTCAAGGTTCTTTTTCCCAGCCTTTAGAGTTGATAAGTCTCTGATCATTCAGAAAAGGATTTATTTGGCAAGAATCCAAAGTATCCCAAAGAACTATGTTTATCTATAAGAGGCCTTGCTCTCTGTTTAATATAGCCAGAGGGACATTGCTTTTTGGACTTCTGGTCACATCCCCACAGATTTGACCTCATTTAGTGGACACTATTAAAAGATTGTCTTATTACTGAGAATTTCCATTGCATCAAATACTAAATATTAGTAACATTCTTCTCTGGGGAAAATGACGTAATAACAGGGCATAGTCTAGGTTGACCTCAGGCAAATTACACAGAGGTATGTGGAGATTATGCAACTAATCTGCTAACAACCCCACAGTGTAGAGAGAGACTTTCCCAGTACTTTTTGAAGGAAGTATTCAGGTTCATCTGAAGCCATAGATGGAAATTTTATTAGAATCTGTTGCGTTGGTACTGAGATCATTATTTTGAAAGATACCATGGAGGAGAAAGTGTACATAGAAGCGTGGCAGAATGATGGAAGGATAGAATGGGAATGGGATGATGGGCTGGCTAGTTTACGCTCCATTTTGTTGTTTACTTTTACAAATGAAGTACACAGGGTTTTCTTTTTTCTTTCCCTTGTTCCACTTTGGAAGCCAAATGATGCTCATAAGAAATTAAAACTGCAGCTAAAATGCTGCAAGTGATTGAGAATCAAAACCTTAAGAAATTGCAGCCTGTTGCAGAAACCAGTTTGGCTCAGTGGTAGATCGTAGGTCTGTGGACGGAAAGGTCCTGGGTTCGAATCCGGTCAAGGGCATGTACCTTGGTTGTGGGCACATCCCAGGTAGGGGGTGTGCAAGAGACAACTGGTCAATGTTTCTCTCTCATCGACGTTTCTAGCTCACTATCTCTCTCCCTTCCTCTCTGTAAAAAATCAATAAAATATATTTTTAAAAAAAGAAAAGAAAAAAAAAAGAGAAGAAATTGCAGACTGTCGAATTACAGCGGGGAGGGTAGGGATATCTGGGGGAGATAATAGATCAACCGAAGTATTGTATGCATGCATATAAATACAACCAATGGACACAAAACTCTGGGGAGGGAGGGTATGTATGAGAGGGGGAGCAATGTTAAAATATGTACACAGATAAGTAAAAAAAAAACCCTTAAGAAATAATTATACCAAGGACCTAATTTTGGGAGTGTTGCCAGAAAAGGTGCTTAAAAGAGCATCTAAGAGAGAGAGGACTGGGAAGATATATTTAGGCTGAACAATTTGGTAAAAAATCAAAATTAAATATTTAGTTATAATTTTCCTTGAACTTGCTTTTAAAACAATTGATTGCATTTTAATTATTTTTTAAAAAACAAGTTACACATGTAGTACATGATCAACAGAAGAAAGTAAAACAGTACAGATATAAGCAAAATAAAAAAGGAAAAATTTTCCTCCTTCTTTCCTCTACAAGGGCAAATACTGTTATAACTCTGCTACCTTGACCTTTTAAAACACTGTTTGTATTATAAATGTGTTTTGGAATGGTGGCTAATACAATATGTATTGTTCTCTCAGGAATATAGACATATTTTTTTCTCTCAGGAATATAGACATATTTCTATTCTTTTTTTAAAAAATAGACAATTGTGTTTTTTAAAAATGGTTAGCTATTTTATTTTATTTTATTATTATTATTTTAGAATATATTTTATTGATATTTTACAGAGAGGAAGGGAGAGAGATAGAGAGCTAGAAACGTCGATGAGAGAGAAACATCGATCAGCTGCTTCTTACACACCCCCTACCGGGGATGTGCCCGCAACCAATGTACATGCCTTTGACAGGAATCAAACCTGAGACCTTTCAGTCCGCAGACGGACTCTCTACCACTGAGCCAAACCGGTTTCGGCAAAAATGGTTAGTTATTTAAATAAAGTGAAATGGAAAAGAAGGCAAGTTGGCAATTTTGAAACTTAAGTTTTATATTTGATGTATTTAAAATATTTTTCTTGGTATGAATTACTTACCAACATATTTTATAAGTTGCTTGTAAATGATATCATACTAGATAAGTGTTCCACCTACTAACATAAGATAGGAGTAGGAAAGCAGCTGAGACCTGCTACAGGTGATAAATGTAGATATTATTAGAAAATGTACAGTATAATTACAATTCTATAAAAGATATGTATACTAGTATGCATAAAAACAATCTAGTAGTAAAGAAATTAAAAGCCAACAGCTGTTATCACAGGATGGCTGAAATATAGATATTTTTCCTTATTATAGTTTTCTGTATTTTCAACAATGAACTTTTATTATGTTTAGAATTAGTTAAAAGGAAAATGCAATATAAAAATGCAATGTATCTGATAAAAATTTATGTCTAAGCACTACAGAAGCTAAACTCATCTGAATTAACATCCACTCCATCCCCAAATCCCATAGTAACAGAGTAGAAGCACTAGGCCCTAGGTTTTCTTAATTTAAGGACTTAGATTTGAGTTCCCTCATTAGAGGAGGTAATCTTTAGCATTATTCAGAGTTGATCAGAAAATGAGACAAAAATCAGGAGATCATATTTCTTTATTACATATTAAAAAATTAACAAAGCAATATATATACACATATATATTTTGCAAGTCCACAGGACCTCAGGAAAAATATATGTTCTGTATGTGAAATTAATGTGGTACTGTGGTTCATGTTTTGTATATTCAAATACAGAAGAAACTATATATAGAGTGATTATACATGGGTACAGAAGATGAATAATAATAAAAAACTGTAATTTTGTGAACTATCACATACACTGTGTCAAAAAAAAAAATGAGTAACTATAAATGACCATATACTGTTAATAAAGAAAAGGAAGAAACTTTCAATATTCATGTTTAAATACTAAAACACAAAAATAAAACAAATTCTGTGTCTATAAGAATTTTTGAAGTGTATACAGTGCATTGCAAATAAATGAGCCCTTTAAAATTTATAGTCCATTTCCTCGTTACCAAAGCATATTTTTATACTTAAGATTTCTTTCTCTTATTTTAAAGTCTCTTTCTGTTTATAAAAAATGACTCATCATGGCCAATATCTCTGGAATCTAATCTCTAGCCTGAAGCTGAGACTTCATGCAAACATATTCTCCTTTAAGGTTGCATCTTCACATATTTTCTCCAAGTATTCAGAGTCAAATAGTACAACTTCCTTTCTCTGGTCATGTTTGTCCACATTCAGTGGCAGTGCTTCTGTTTCAGTAGGCTTTCTCACACACGCCCTTTTCTTTTCTTTTTTTTTTTTTTTTTGCTGTCAACAGCGTCTCCCAACTCACACAACACAAGTGATAGGTAGTAAAGTGCTTTATACAGAGAAATACTATATAAATGTGGAGAGGTTCCTCTTAACACACCACAGGCCAAAGTTCACACACATCACACAAGAGAAGGCTCTTTTTAAGAGACACCTTTTCTGATAGAAGGGTTGGGATTCCTTAAAATCTTATTAATTAAAGTAAGTAACATCCAAAGCTGGGAGAAGTCCTTGTTATATTTATTGCCCTTAATGGATTATTGTTAAATATCATACCGCTATTAAAAGATTCTTAATAGCTATGAATTTCAGAATCAATTCTATAGAAAACAGGTATCAGCATAGATTTTTTTTTCATTTCTCTTTATGAAACAAAGTGTATTTAAACATGGGCCCAAAGAGATAGACAAGGCCCATGCATTGGAACATTTCTATACATTTTGGCACTTAAAAATATTCCAGTTTCATTATTGAGTTCTCCTTTCCACCAAGCTTGTGTTTTATCCATAGAGAAGTGCCATTATGTGCCATACACCTTTATTGCTACTTGCACTCTCTTTTTAAAATATCCATGACTTTTCTACCAAGAGATGGTTTCCAGCGCTGAACAAAACTTTTCATATTCACAATTAGTTTGCCTGTTCTTACATCCTCATGTCCTGCTACAAGGTACTCCAAACCTAAAAGAGAACAAAAGAAGCTATATAATATCATAATTTATTGAAGGGGAGATGTGATTTCAGCAGTTTTATGTATGCATAGTTAATGGTTTTATATATTCAAGGTTGGAATTGGGAGCAATTCTATATAATAAAAGCCTAATATGCTAAGCATCTGGTCATCTGATCTTCCATTCAGCCAATCAAAGCGTAATATGCTAATGATACACTAAGGCTGCTCAACTGCTCGCTATGATGTGCACTGACCACCAGGGGGCAGACAGTCGACCAGTCAACCAGTCTCTATGATGTGCACTGACAACCAGGGGGCAGAGCTTTGACTGGTAGGTTAACTTGCTGCTGGGGTCCGGCTAATTGGGACTGAGCGAGATGAGCTAGACACACCCTGGAGCCTTCCCTGGGTCCCTTGGAAACTGGCCAACCTCTTGTGTCCCTCCCCAGCTCCGATCATGCACCAGTGGAGTCCCTCAGCCTGGCCTGCACCCTCTCACAATCCAGGACCTCTCGGGGGATGTCAGAGAGCAGTTTTGGCCCAATCTCACAGGACAGGCCGAGGGTCCCCACTGGTGCACAAATTTATGCATCGGGCCTCAAGTAGACAATAACAGCTAACATGTAAGAAGCATTTATTAAGTGGTTTACATGTATTATTTCATTAATCTTGAAAATAACCTTATAAGTAGGTATTATTTTTCTTCTTGTTTTACAAATGAGGAAATGGAGGCTTGGCATGATCAAGAACTTGTTCTGTGTCTCTCATTGGTAGCAGCATTTTGACTTAAGCTCAGGTCTGTCTGATTTCAGAACTGTTTACTCTATACAGTTCTGTAAGTGCCCATGGAAACCTATTCTTTACCTCTATGGTAAAGAATAGGTTTCCATGGGCACTTAACATATTGCTATAAATCAGTATTTCTTGGGGACTCACTATGTGTGATAGTGTACAGTAAGGAGAATTTAACAAAAGTTTAAAGACTATTTGGGAAAACATATCAGAAGAGAGCTATGGGTTTTACAAAATAGCATATAATTCCTAGATAAAGTTGATGTGCTTTTGTAATATAGGAGGTTTGTTTGTTATACATTTAAAAAAAGATTTTTTTGTTGTTGTTGTTAATCTTCACTTGATATTTTCCCATTGATTTTTAAGGAGAGTGTAAAAATGAGGGAAAGACAGAAAGAAACTTCTATGTAAGAGAAACACATTGATTGGTTGTTTCCTGCATGAGCCCTGGCCAGGGCTCAGGCCAGGGAGGAGTCTGCAACCAAGGTATGTGCCCTTGACTGGAATCAAACTTGGGACTCTTTGGTCTGCAGGCTGAAGCTCTATCCACTGAACCAAATCAGCTAGGGCTAAAAAAGATATTTTTATTGATTTCAGAGAGGCAGGGAGAGACAAATAGAACATCAATGATGAGAAGGAATCATTGATTGGCTACCTGCATGCCCTTTACTAGGGATCGAGCCTGCAACCTGGGCATGTATCCTGACTGGGAATTGAACCATGACCTCCTGGTTCATGTTTGATGCTAAAACACTGAGTAACACTGGCCAGGCTATTTGTTATACATTTTTTTTAAAAATGGTGAGAACTGGCCAGATCTGGAACTGACTTTGTAATTCAAAATTCTTCTCAGGCTAACACAGACATAAAATAAAAAGACAATCTCATTATCTATATGTTAATAAAAAGAAATATGATAATCTCCCTCAGTAGACATTTATAGTAATATCAATATTGGTATTTTTCATTAATATTATAGAACACAGCAATAAGTAATTATGTTTATAAAAGAAAAATTTCCAGCCCAGCCAGCATAGCACAGTGGTTGAGGTCTACCTATGAACCAGGAAGTCACAGTTCAATTTCTAGTCAGGGCATATAATTGTGTTGCAGGCTTGTTCCCCAGAAGAGGGTGTGCAGGAGGCAGCCAATTGATGTTTTTCTCTTATTGATGTTTCTATCTCTCTAAAATCAATAAAAATATATTAAAAAAAACAACACAATCTCAATTCTAGCTATCTTAACTTAGTGGATAGTGCATCGGCCTGTGGACTGAAGTGTCCCAGTTCAATTCTGGTCAAGGGCATATGCCCAGATTTCAAGTTTGATCCCCAGTAGGGGGCATGCAGGAGGCAGCTAGTCAATGATTCTCTCTCATCATTGATGTTTCTATATCTCTCTTCCTCTCCCTCTCTGAAATCAATAAAACAAACAAACTTCAAATTAAGAGAAAATATTAGATGTTAAAACTCAATTGAAAATTTCAATTTAAACTCATGGTTTTAAAAAATATATATGTATACTTATTTATTCATGGAAATAACCTAGAAAAATGTCATTCAGTGAAATTATTGATTCAGGAAGGGATTACCAATTGGTGTTAAAATCATTAAATGAGTGGTTAATGGGACACTTGATATTTATATAGTGATTCAGTAACACAACTTGTATTATTTTTTAGTTTCACAAGGGAAAACAGCTTTGGTCAGTGGCTCAGTTTGTGGAATGTGGTCCCATGTACCCAAAGATTGCCAGTTTGGTTCCCAGTCAGGGCATATACCCAAGTTGCAGGTTCCATCCCCGATGGGGTGCTCACTAGAGGCAACGATCAATGTTTCTCTCATATTGATGTTTCTATTCTCCCTTTTCATTCCTCTCTCTAAAATCAATAAAAACTTTTTTTTTTTAAGGGAAAACAAAATAGCCCAATGGAGAGATCAGACTTTTATCACTCACTCAAGTGTCAGTTTAGCAACACTGATAGTGGGTCATCAGGTGCTATGTGTCTTCTGATATTATTTGACACAAAGTACCCAACATGAAGTATATAACACAAAGTGTAATGAATCCAAGCCAAAAATGTTTGTCTTGACTCTAGCAAGCTTTTCTTTAAAGGTTACATAAAATATTGAAGGTATAGGGACAAGCTAAATGACACCACAAGGAACCAACTAGACAAACATAGAAGGGTAAGGTAGTCTCTAGGACAACTGGCCTGGTTTCTTAAACAATAACAATTTTTTTTCAACAATAATAAAAGGAAACTGTACTTGAATAAAAGAGACTTGAAGAACTTAAAATCCAGATAGTATGTGATCCTAGCAAGGATAAACCACCTCAAAAGGACATTTTGGGATTTGTTGGGAAATTGGAATATGGTCTGAGAATTAGATTATATGAAAATAAACTAAAATTGAAGATAAAGATCATTAACTGAATAAAGAGGGCTACATATATTATGATTTTATTTTGGTTAAAAAATATGACATGTTCGTGTACAAAAAAAGATCTGGAAGGATTTTCACTGAGATATTAACAGAGATTATCTCTGGAGGGCAGAAATGTGAAATTTAAAAATTTCCCCAAAATTTCTATACCTGTAATATATTTAAATATTGCTTCTTTTATAACAATAAAAGGATCATTTTAAAAGTTTATTGAAACAAGTCAATCCTAAATTAAAGATAGCTATGATGGTGTTTTCACAAAAAGAGAAATAAAAGGAAAATAATGACATAAAAAGGTTTAGACATTGAGGAGCACAAATGTGTGGATTATAAGGTATTTAAATTCTTTAAAGGGTTACCTTAGCTTTTGCATGAGAAAGAATCCCAATCCTGCAGGACACTCAACCAACTGAGAGCCACACTGGCCAGGGCTTAAATGCTAGTTTTGACATTCTAAAACATAAAATTAATGAATGACTAAAAGTATACATGAATATAGGAATGGATGAATTCGCAGGGATGCCAAATTAGATTGTTCTTTTTCAAAAGTAGCAAAGGAAGCAAGTTGGCCTGTTAAGGTTTCAGAATTTTCTTATCAGCTTTCTTTGCTCTTAGCTATTGAACTTGTAAAAATGGAAAAACAAAGTGAAATGAAAGAGTGTCTGGTTTTGCTTTGGCAAGTTCCAGTGTTTTCTTCAAAGTGAGTAAACATGTTTTCAAGAATTCTTTGAATAATTGTGCTTATGCTTTCAATTGTGATGAACTCAGTTGATTCCTTGACTGTTTGGCAGAAATCTGATTAGGAAGTATAGTTCACTTCCTGGAGAGTGGCTCAAATGGTCAAAGCTTTTGTTTTCAAAGTCTGGCTAAAAAACTGAGTGGATTATTTTGTTCTTCCTTTGCCATGATAGTAGAAAGTGCTTATAGGAAGAGCCCCTGTGCCTAAATTGTTGGGAAATAGAACACAGATTAATAACTCTTCATTTCCTGTATTAAAAAATCCAAGATTCTAAAAAAAATTTTTAAAAATTAAAAAAATCCAAGATTCTGATTACTTAATTTGTTCTTTGAAACAATATTTATTTAAAATATTTTCTTTTTCCATTTTTAAAAATTTAAATTAATTTAAATGAAATACTGAAGGTGTAAAAAAGGTGTGAACAGCTATTTAACAATAGAAATATAGTCAAGAATTGTATATCATTGTTTAGACTAGGGGTGTCGAACTCAATCAGAGAAGGGGCCAAAATCTAAAATCCAGCCTAAATCGCGGGCCAAATGGTTTACTGAACAGTCATAAACTGTCATTGTGATGGAAACGCAGCGGAGTGCAGTGATGACAGCGCGGTGTGGGCCACATTGCAAGGCCTGGCGGGACGGATTTGGCCCGCGGGCCTTGTGTTTGACACATGCGGTTTAGACGGTTTGGGTTGAGGTAGATATTTTATTGATAGTTTCTCTCTCTCAGTTATGTTTATTTTCCTCAAATTTATGTGTCAAAGATCACAAATGACTTCTTAATAATATAACTGTGGTTTTCTGGACATATACTTGGAAGGAATTATATCCGGAAGAGAAATTATGCACTTGTTTGAACAGTGCCTTTGAGACACAGAGGGCAACTACACAAATGGAAATACAGAGGATTTTAAAAAAATTATTTGTGCTCTGGATGGTGTGGCTCAGTTGGTTGAGCATTGTCCCATGCATTGAAAGGTCTCTGGTTTGATTCCCAGTTGGGGCACATGCCCAGGTTGCAGATTCAGTCCCCGGTGGGGGTACAGAAGGGAGGAAACCAACAAATTGATGTTTCTCTCTCTCTTTCCCTGTTGCTCTAAAAACATTTAAAATCAATAAAAACATTTTAAAAGTTATTTGTGCTCTGTTCAGTGCTACAGAGTGGTTAGAATGTCAGCCATTGCACCAAAGGTCTTAGGTTCGGGATCTGATCAAGGGCACGTATCTGGGTTGCAGGTTTGATCCTCAATTGACATGTCTCTCTTATATTGATGTTTCTCTCTCCCCTCACCCCTTCCTTTTCACTTTCTCTGAAAATTAATAGAAAAATGTCCTGGGGTGAGGATTAACACTACCAACAGAAAGAAGTTATTTGTTTTTCTAGAACTTACTATCTGGAAACTATGTTACTATTATTGAGGTACTAATGGTAGGTAATGGGGACACTATGATAAAAAAATCTAAATCCTGTCCTCAAACTTAATGAGGAAGATAGTAAAATAAGCAGTTTATGACACAGTATGACAATTGTCCTTATATAGTGTGAAGGTATGAATCCCTGCAAATTCCACTGCACTTCAAGTTTCTCTAAGATTCTACAAGGCTTGTTTGTCTATTTGTTGGCTTGCTTGTCTATTTCTGCTGTTTCTAGTTTAAAACCAGAATGATAATTTAATGAAAAATAAGATGCTAACTTGAGAGTTGTTTTCTATCCAGGAGAAACAGATGCTTCTCATGCAGTAGTAGAAATGAATTCAATATTATTTGCACAGATGGAATTTTGCATTTGAACTTCCTTTGGGAATAAGTTCTACCCAGGGCATCGTAATAGGACCTAGCTTTCAGATAAAGTGTTAGTAGCAGATAAATTCATGAAAGTGTTTTCTATGCTACTGACACCTGGAACCAATCTGAGACTTCTCTTTTAGGGCAGAGAATATTATATTGCTGGATTTTAAAGTATTATACTTTAATACAGCACCTGGAAGAGAAATCGTTTTTTGATGTCAGTTCAAAGAATTCCATTTGGGCTTTCCCCAGAATTCAGATGTGAAAAAGATGCTTTTTGCAGAGTTTATTTAGGTTGTGGTTCAGAGAATGTAAGACAAACAGCAATTCAGCAGAGAGAAAGTAGAAAAAAATCTAATGCTCACCAGGATTGAGGATTGGACAAGTGCAGCCTCTGTTAGTCCATGATTCTGGATATAATGTTCGCTTTCCTCGTAAAATTTTCAATTTGGTAGATTTTAAGACTTTTTTAATCTTCACACTGACCTCAGCATGAGATCCTTTATCATGAGCTGATAAAATCTTTATTTTTAGCACTGTAACAACACAATTTCCAAAGTCAAAATGCATAAAATTTCATATCATCTTTTGATATTTGAACAACTTAAATATGCACTTCAGAGTATAATGGAAAAGTGATTTAATGATGTATCATTAGGCTCAGCAATTTGCTACTCATTTCTATAAACTATACTCTTCTTTTTTAGACATTTACAATTGCTACTCATTCCCATATCACTACTCTAAAAGAATATCAGCCATTTGCCTACAGCAAGTATAATCTTTAACACATTCACCTATCAACTAAATAGAATGATGTGTAGGAGGTAGAATTGTTATCATGATTTTAATTTAAATTCTAATTCTATTATACTGTTTTGGTTGATTATGTATAAAGTTATGACAAAGAGCAAATGTTACTACCAGGTTATATTTAAGTATTCTAAAGGGATTAAATAATATTATTGATTATTTAATCTTCTTCCTCTGATGTAAAATGCAAGCTGACTGGGGTTAGGGAGGCTGTCCTATACGATGGCAGAGCTCCAGTATTTTATATGACTCATGATTCCATTATGCTCTAAGATCAATGAAATAGATGGGGGAGGTGTTAAGTAATGGAATAAGTTGGGGTGGGAGAGAAAGTAAACCTAAGGATCAGTGGATGCAATATTCTATATTACTAGAGAGTTCTTACTATATTTTGATGAAAGATTGTGTGTAATGAGAGAACCCTATCCTGGCTGGTCCCATATCCATATGACTATTAGAAAGCTGTCTTTTTAGAAACACCAAGTTTTAGACTCTGAATGGGTCTTAAGAGCTCATCCAATTTTGTTTTATGTATAAGGAAGCAAGTTTTAAGAAATTAAGTGAACTGCTCATGTTTTCATGATTTGTTGTTTAGAGATAGAGTTTGGACTAGAATCCTGATAGGATAATTGCATGAAAGGTACATAGCACAGTGCCTCACACATAGCCATGTTCAATAGCTATTTTTGGCATTTTAGGGTATTTTTTCACTAGACTGAAACTCAGGGAATTTGTCTATTCACAATACTAGCTCAATAAATATTTGCTAAAGGAATGATCAAATAAAGTTTTCCCTCATTAAGGTAGAGAATGGGGTGGAACCATTCCTCCCTCTTTCCCAAGACTATAGGTGTATAGTACTTAATAAGATCAAGGTATTTAATTAGATTATTAAGAGCATTCAAATTATCCTAAGCAGAAAGTACTACAGTTGTATTAAAAGATGCCAATGTGGTTTGTAAATTCAGGCAGAGAGCTACTGAATCCATGTGATAATGAAAATCAGTTGATATTTCCACTGAACTGACTGACTTTGAAACTAAATGGGCATTTTTTTTTCTTTTTTGCTTTTAATAATAAATACAATTCCTTCTAAGTAAATACTTTTCCTTATTAGGCACTATATATTTCAAAAGTTTTATTCTATTTTTTAGTCAAGTTGGCTGATGAAAGGGAAGAAATATGCATGTAATTTTAGATAAGATTTATGAGGTTTTTAACATTTACTTTTTTATCTCTTATGAGATTAAATACAATGTTATCAAGAACTTAAACATTTGGTTTCAGAAATCATGACTTAGATTTTTCTCTTCATTGTAATGCACATTTCAGGCCCTATAAGTTATGGAACAATAAAAAGCCCAGACACTAGTTAAAGATAGTTGGCAAGCCCTAGCCATTTGGCTCACTGCATGTATCATTGACCTGTGGACTGAAGGGTCCTGGCTCGATTCCAGTTAAGGGCACATGCCCGGGTTACAGGCTTGGGCTGTGGGCTCGATCCCCAGTAAGGGGCATTTCTTTTCTTTTCTTTCATTTCAGAGGAAGGGAGAGGGAGAGAGAAATAGAAACAACAATGATGAGAGAGAATCATTGATTGGCTGCTTCCTGCACGTCCCCCTGCACGTCCTTCCTGCATGCCCCCACTAGGAATTGAGCCCACAACCTGACCATAATCCCTGACCAGGAATTGAACCATGACCTCTTGGTTCATAGGTTGATGCACAACCACTGAGCCATGCCAGCTGGGCTAACCATTGATGTTTCTATCTCTCTCTCCTCCCCCTTCCTCTCTGAAATCAATAATAAAATAAAATAAAAATAAAATAAAATAAAATAATATGTTTACAAGATCAGATATCCTTAATATTTAATATTTAATGGTAAACATAAAGTTACTTAGAATTAGAAGGTAGTAACAGTCTGTATTTAGGACAGTGACATTTTCTTTATATGTTGCATTTTCCTGGTATTTGAAAGATAGAGAAACAGAATATACATAGAAAGTAGGGAAAAAAACTCAGGCAGTCAGCTCATCTCAGCATATATATCCTCTTACTTTTCAGAAATATATATTCTCTTCCTCCTCCCTACCATTTACTGAGCATCTAGTAAGTGTAAGTTAATGTGCTTTTCAAAAATCTCATTTTATGAGGAAGGTAGCATCATCTCTATTTTACAGATAAGAAAGTCTGTAGAGGTTAAGTTACCCACTCCATAAACTAGAAATGAAACCCATATAGGTCTGAACCCAATGTCTGAGCTCTTGAAATACTGCTTTATGAAATACTGCTTCAAATTGAGTTCTGCTGGGGTCCAGCTGATCAGGACTGGGCAAGAAGGGCCAGACATGCTCTGGAGCCCTCCTGTGGTCCCTACCTGGCTGGCCAATCTTCTGCATCCATCCCTGACCCTGATTGTGCCAACAGTGGGGTCTCTCAGCCTTGCCTGTGCCCTCTTGCAATCCGGGACTCCTCGGGGGATATCAGAGAGTTGGTTTTGGCTGGATCCTGCTCAATGCAGGAGCTGTTCCCTAGTGGTCAGTGCTCTCCCACAGGGGGAAGCACTGCTCAGCCAGAAGCCAGGCTCACAGCTGGTGAGCACAGTGGTGGTGGCAGGAGCCTCTCCCGCCTCTGCGGCAGCACTAAGGATGTCTGACTGCTGGCCTAGGCCCATGGGGAGTGGGCCTAGGCCAGCAGTCAGACATTCCCTGAGGGTGCAGGCCTGGCTGAGGTACACCCTCCTCCCCTCCCCCGCCGGGTGCACGAATTTTGTGCACCAGGCCTCTAATTATTATATAAGACTAATGTTTTAACATTTTTGAGAATGTCATATGCCAGGCCTCCCATTTTCTAGGAAACTCTTCATACTTAGTTTGAATAGACTCTCAGAAACATTCAAGGACTTTAGACTCACCATATGAATATTTCATTCCACAGAATGCCTTGGAGTTTCCCAAAACCTGTTCCTTACATTCACATTTACCTACAGAAATAAAATGAGAAATGATGTTAGTTAAAAACAGAGAGAAAAAAAAATCATCAAGTAAATCCAGGTAGCATAACTCTTTATGACTTGAGTGATTCATACAATATCATCCACAAATACTAAGAAACCATGAAAAATCATTCAAGAGAAATAGTCACTGCCTTGGCCTGTGTGGCTCAGTTGGTTGAGCATTGACCTTTTCATGGAAATGTCACCAGTTTTACTTGGTCAGGGCACATGCCTGGGGTTGTGGACTCGATCCCCAGCAGGGGGCATGGGGGAGGCAGCTAATTAATATTTCTCTCTCCCTCTCCCTTCCTCTCTTTCTCTAAAACGAATAAAAATATATTAAAAAGAGAGAGAAATAGTCACTCTGAATTGAATTCATCATTATCCAGTGAAGCAATGACCTAAGAGAAATACAGAAATGTAGAAATACTGATATATTTTAATGCTTGCAATTGATGACATACTAGTAAATATAGTCCATGCTAATGGAATGGAACAACTAATAGATAACTTATAGAAAAACAATTATCCTATCTAATAAAAGAGTAAAATGCAAATTAACTATCACTCCGTGTCAAAAATGGCAGCACCCATAACAGCCAGGGCAGACGCTGGCAGTGGCTCCCCAGCAATGTGAACCCAGAGTTCGATTCTTGGTTGCAGAGGGAGGGGAGGGGCCTCTGACCAGAACCCAGCATACTTGCCCTGCTGCATGGAGGGAGGGAAGGAAGGGGCCTCTTTGCTGAGGCCTGGGTGAGCGATGCTGGGCTTGTGGTAACATAAGACCAGTGTCCCCACCCCAGCAGTGCAGAGGGAGGGGAAGACCTAGAAAAATGGATCTTCCCAGTTCCGGACACCGAGGGAGCCCTATGGGTGCTGGGGTTATCTGCCTGAAGCCCCCAGTCACAGCCTGGTAGCCCCAGTCACAGACTGGAGGCCCCTTGCCCGTAGTGCGGACTCAGCCAGCATGGAGCTGCAGCAGGGTGGGGGTAAGGTTTCGGTGGGCGCACTATAGACATTAAATCACTGCCGCTGCAGGCGCGCCCCCCCACTGCACTCACAAGCAGTACAGTATAAGGGACAGCTCCTGAAGCTCAGCTCCCAAGGTAGCTGATGCACACCATGCTGGCAGGGAAGAGGGATCTGGGACTCCAAGTCTCTGTGTACCTTAGTTTCTAGGTATCGTGGCTGGGGCCCTGAGAAGGCCCCAGGACAAGCATCTTCCCAGAGGCTTCGCAGAGGGAGGGGAGGAGCCTCTGGCTAGAGGCCTGGTGAGGGATTCTGGCATCATTGCAGTCCAGGCTGAGGGACACCCCCTCCCCGCACCCTTCGCATTTCATGCACCGTGCCTCTAGTATATATATATAAAAAGCCTAAGCGATTGAACTACTGAACAACCAGTCGACTGGTCACTATGACACACACTGACAGGGACAGATGCTCAATGCAGGAGTTGCCCCCTGGTGGTCAGTATGCTCCCACAGCGGGAGCACCACTCAGCTGACTAATGGGCAGCAGACACCGGGTTCATGGCTGTAAAATGCAGCTGTGGCGGCGTGAGCCTCTACTGCCTCCACGGCAGTGCTACTGAACAGCAGCAGCAGCAGGTGCAGCAGGGCCAGGATGAGTGGGAATGATGTGGTGTCTGACCCAGGCTCAGGCTCCTCCCTGGCCGCGTGCTGCTTCATGCACTTCTACATTCCTTGGAGAATGTTGGACTGCAGGTTTAAACTCTACAATCCCTGGGGATCGGGCCAAAACTGGCATTGAACATTCCCCAAGGGGTCCCGGATTGTGAGAGGGTGCAGGACAGGTTGAGGTACCCCACCGGTGTACAAATCCATGCACTGGGCCTCTAGTATTTTTATAATTAATGTTCACCACAACAAAAGTCAAATGAAATAAAATAGTAGGGCAGTTCTTTGAAGGTAATGCCATGAAATTAAAATAATTTATTGAGCCTCTATTGTAAGCAGGACATGGTGCTATAAACATCAGAGTATATAAATATGAGCAAGGCACGATTCTTGCCTTAAGACTTGCAATTCAGCAAGGTGAATAAAGCAAGTATATTAACAGTGATAAGTGTCCTAAGATGGGTACAATATGCTTGGTTGGGAGGCCACATGTTTGAGGAGATGGAAAAGACTTCATGGCTGAAGAAGAAATTGAAATGGACTTTGATGAAAACATCTACCAACAATTAAAATTATGTATTGCAATTATGTGTGAGAGATTTGCCAGACCCTGTGGAAGACTTTCAAAATATCTTTGTACGTAGTCTACTCAGTATGTATGGTATTCTCATACTTATTTATGTATCTGTTTCCTCTCTGGACCGTAATCCTTGAGGACAGTGGTTATGTCTTATTCATCTTTATATTCCTAGAACCAGAATGGATAGGATTTTCATTCTTACTAATTTTTTCACAAGTAGATATAATTTTACCCCTCCCCTCTTGCCCTCATGTATTGCATTTCATAGACATTGAGTGGTGGTAGCAGCAGGTAGCATTTACTGAGGAGAACTTACTATGTAAAATACTATTGTAAATGTTTTACATTTATTTACTCATATAAGATTCTAACGTATAGAAATTTGACAGGAATATAGATATAAAAGGGTGAGCAAAAAAATGTTAAGAGAGAAAGGACAGAGTGTATTCATGGAAGAGTCAGTGGCATTGTTTATCCTGGGAACAGATTGAGTAGAGAATAATAGACGGTATCATGGAGGACCTTGCTGATATGCAGTTAGGGCCTGAATTTAATTTGTTAGCTAAACAAATTAAAGAAGTTACTTGAATTTAAAAAATATATATGAAAATTAATTTGGCATTATCATATCAAAAATATTAGAATGGAGAGAAGATGAAGGCTAGTAAATTAATTATAACAACAGTAATTAATTTGAGTGCCAGCTATAGGCAATAAACTATGTGAGGAGAGTAGGATTCTGATGATATACATAGTAATATTGACTAATTGGCTCTAAAGCTTCTCTAGGAATCAGGGAATGAGATTTGCAAATCACAGTGGAATTAAATAGTGAGAAAGATAAATCAAAGGTGCTTAAAATGAGCTGTTCTGATTTTTAAATAATATTGACTTTAAACCTAGCAGAGAGGATTATTCATTCAGAAATTATAGTAACTTAAGAGAAGAGCCCACAGCTTTTGATAATTCCACCAAAGCAGGACAGTATGGTAAGCACCATGTTATAAAACCTAAAAGAATTCCAAATGACATATATTATTCCTCCACATAATGTTCTTCTCTTAAGTCCTTCAGCCTATCTCTCTCTATAATACCCTAATATTCGAATAAACTGAGCAGCAGAACAACCGAACAACTGGTCGCTATGACATGTGCTGATCACCAAGGGGTGCGTGCAGAACATGGCGGGTGTTGGCAGCAGGTGGCAGAGTGTGGAACATGGTAGGCATCTGCTGCTGCAGGATGGTGGAGTAGGTGAGCAGGGGTGCCAGACCAAGGTGGGGTGCTGGTTGCTGTCATCGGTTGGTTACTGAAAGTTCTTTGCTCCCATGCACCATGGCACTCACACTTGCTGCTAGCACTGGCCCCACTCACACCCACTGCTGGCACCTGGCACCAGCCCTGATCACTTGGCACCGTCAGTGGGTGCTAGTGGCAGCTGCTGGCCCTGATTGCCTCTCAGGGCTTCTCCACCTCCCCTTGCTACTGAGGGACAATCAGGGCCGGCAGTTGTATCTTGCACCTGCTGCTGGCACTGGAGCCACTGCTCACACCCACTGCCGAGGCCCAGCACTGGCCACAATCCCTCCTTGCTGTCAGCAGTGCGAGCAAGGCTAGCACCATCAGCATGTGGGAGTGGCGGCAGTGAGAGGGGGGTTGCGGACAGACAGGGGACCAGGGCTGTGGTGGGAGGGGCCAGGCAGGGGCACAGAGGATGGGACAAGACCCACCCCTGTGCCCATCACAGCCTCGAGGCCCACATTTCCTTTCAAGGTGCACGAATTTGTGCACTGGGCCCCTAGTAAGAACATATGTAAGTCTGTATTTAAAGATCTTTCTTTGGATGCTTTCCAATACTCTCATTTCATATATTAAGATATCAGACATTAAAATTTGCTTTTGAGTGAATCTTTGTTGATCAGCCTTCAACCTTAGTTTTCTTAAAAGAAATCTGGAAAGGGATTAAAATCTGCTTAGATATACTCGGTATCAGAATGTTAAAGGGAGGTTGGGAGAGAGAACATTGCTTATAGTTCTTTGGTACTAAAGGTAGTTTTGTTGTACATAAAGTGAAAGTTTACATCTGATGTTCTCTGCCTCAAAAGAAGTGGTAGAAGTTAAAAGTGTCTTTTGGGTATAGGACATTACATTCCTAGTTATGTAAACTCATGATAGGTAAATAGGTAGGTAGGCACATATATTTGAGAATAAATCACAGTGCTTAGGAAACTGACTATCACTTTTGTACTGAAAAAAGGTGCCCAAGAGTACTATTCTATACCCAATTGAAATATTGCTGTTTAGCAGGAAACTGAACAATGTCTTCTGCAATCTGGAGTTCATCCAGATGAATTTCAGAGGCTCTCTGGGGACATCACAGACCTAACAGCTGTTGTGAACACTAGAGTCTGGAGTCATTCTAATGCCAGCATGTTATGCGCTTAATTCATGTGCTGCCAGCTCCCTAGTAACAAGATGACTGGCTTAATGAATGTCCTAAAAACTTGACTTTTATAGATTAGCTTAGCAGACAAAGTTAAAGAATTATGAAGATCATTGTGTTAGAAAAATAGCAGGAAGCTTTGAAAAGTGATTATTAAAATCAGTATTCAGACTATGTAGCATTAAGGCAAAAAATGAGGAAGATTTTTTCTTTTTCAAATGTGAAAAGATAAATATGACTACATATTAACCTTTCCACCTTCTTCCCACTTGTGAATTAAAATGAAACCATTAGGAAAATGATAAGATTATGTTAAATGAAAAAAAAAAACACACACCGTGATATGGAATTATAAATATTAGTGTTTCTCAAATTTGGGTTCTTGATTCTTAAATGGCCCATAAGTTCTTTTTTTTTCTTTTTTTTTTTTTAATATTTGTTCTTGTGAACTAATGACATTTGGGATATATATAACTGTAAACATAACCTTTCTTTAAAAAATAGGTTTTTATTGACTTTTAGAGAGAGGGGAAGGGAGAGAGATAGAAACATCAGTGAGACATCATTGATTGGCTGCCTCCTACACACCCCTCTTGGGGATTGAGCACAAAATCCGGGCATGTGCCTGGACTGGAAATCGAATCCTGACCTCTTAGTTCCTAGGTCTACATTCAACCATTGAATCACACTGGCCAGGCCACAAGTTCTTCATGAGAATATAATGAAATTATAGTTTCTAACTCTACTTCAACCATATTGGTCTGTTGCTATTTCCAGAATTAGCCAGGCCTAGTCCCACTTGCTGTGTCTTCTATATAAATGTTTTCCTCTGTTATATGTATAGTTGGTCCCCTTACCTCCTCCACATTCCCCCCCCCCCCAAAATGTCACCTTTCATAAGACTTCCCCTGACAACCCTATTTAAAAGTATGCCTCTCCTAAGCACTTCTTATCCCAATCCGTTTTATTTTTCTATTATACTAAACATCATTATATTAAATATTTTATCTATTTATTAGCTGTCATCCTCTACAAAAATAAAGGCTCCTTAGAGGCTGGGATTTTTGTCTGTTTTGCTCATTACTATAATTACAATATTTATACATATTATGGGTACTCAATAAACATTTGTTGGATGAAGGATGAATCTATGAATAACTTTCACAAATTGGTAAGAAAATTGCAAGTTGGAAATTTGCAGAAAAAGAAACCTAAGTGACCAAGAAACCATGAAAAGTTACCAAACCTGTTAGTAATCAGGAAAAGGCAATTGAAAATGGCAAATCCCATTCTATACCCATCAAACTGGTAAAAATTTATAACTTTGATAACACTAACTTTAGAAGTCCAATAACTGTTAAGTGAGTTAAACTGTGACTGATTAATGAGTTAGATTGGTGCTTTTACGTGCCATATAAAAATTTGTGCCATATAAAAATTTGTTTAATATATACAAAGTATTAATGAGGATGTGGTGCAACAGGATGTCATACCTTGCTGGTGGAATGCAAATTTATGCAACCACTTCAGAGAGCTATTTGCAATATGTGCTAACAATAGCACACCCATGACCCAACAGTGTCTAGGTTGTGGCCTAGAAAAAGGGTCAGCAAACATTTTCTGTAAGGAAACAGATGATAAATATTTTAGGCTTTGTGGGCCAAAGCAAAATTAATGATACTATGTAGGCATTTATATAACCATTGAAAGTGTAACCATTTAATCCTTAGAGCAAGTAGAGTTTACAGACTATAGAAAAACAGATGGCAGGCAAGATTTGGCCTGAGGAAATACGTTATATCTATTGTCTCACCTGAATGTCGAAGTGCAGAAAATCCTTGCTCATCCTCCCACTCCCAGGTTGATTCACTCTTATTATGCGTGGAATGGAAGTCAGGAATTTCATGATACCAGTCTATGTCTGTGCTGCTAATAAAACAGAAAATGATGAAGACATTATTAAGGAATTTCTCAGAACTTGAATGGAATGAGTACCTTTGTAGATATTTAAACATTTACAGCTACCTTTCCAGAAACAAATAGTGTTTTTAGGACCTATTTATTGTTAAGAAGAATAATTTGTTTTGCAAAATAAACTAGACCATCTCTAGAATCTTGCAAGAACAAATGACTTGAATTTCAATTTGACAAAGATTCTTTAAAGCACATGTGTCAAACACAAGGCCCGCGGGCCAAATCCGTCCCGCCAGGCCTTGCAATGTGGCCCGCACCGCGCTGTCATCACTGCACTCCGCTGCGTTTCCATCACAATGACAGTTTATGACTGTTCAGTAAACCATTCGGCCCGCGATTTAGGCTGGATTTTAGATTTTGGCCCCTTCTCTGATTGAGTTCGACACCCCTACTTTAAAGAGATATATAAAGCCTAGCCTGTGTGACTTAGTGGTGAGCATTGACCTATGAACCAGTAGTTCACAGTTGGATTCCCTGTTCAGGGCACATGCCCTGGTTGTGGGGCTTTATCCCCAGTAGTGGGCATGCAGAAGGCAGCCAATTGATGATTCTCTCTCATCACTGGTATTTCTATCTCTCTCTCCATCTCCCTTTGTCTCTCTGAAATTAAAAAAACAAAATCAAAAAACAACCCACATAAAAAAGAGATGCGTAAAGATATATTTGTTTCACTGAATATGGTAATACAAGATTGAATCTGAATATTGGCATACAAGATTTTCCATATCACTACCAGATCTTCAAAAGAATCTGAAAGACACATAGATGAGAATAAGAGCCATGCACATTCACCTGCTGATGCAATCTCCTGTGAGAGGGTCGCAGTTCCCTGCACAATCACAGGGCCTGCAGCCGTAGTCTCCGAAGCCCCAGTATCCCACCATACACCTGTCACAGTGTGGCCCTGCCACCCCGGGCTTGCAAGGGCAGTCACCATTACTGGGGTCACAGAAGGTCACTGAGCTGAAAGGAAGGACAGCTGATCCAACTGGATGGCAGGAACACACTACAACAGAGGACATACAAGGACTGATGAGTGACTGGATTGTGGAGAATGGGCCTGTCAATCCCAAAATGGCTTCTTTTACTACATAGCATGTCTCTGAGGCACATCCTTTCCCATTGGTGTATATTCGGAGAATAAAAGCTAATTAAATTACAGATAAGAAGATAAAATCAGAAAAGTATGTCTGCTGCAAAACAAATGGCATTATCTATAATAATAAAAGTGTAGTATGCTAATTAGACCGGATGTCCCTCTGGATGACCTTCTGGCCGAAGCAGGGGCTGTGAGGGAAGCCTGGGTCCTGGGTGGCAGAAGGAAGCCGGTGCCAGCAGCCAGGGGAAGGAAGGCCTACTCTTGCACACATTTTGTGCATTGGGCCTCTAGTTTATTATAAAATTGAAGGCATTAAATATGAATGGATTTTGGTTGGGGTGATGGGAATAAAGACAAAAGAGGAGCATTTTGTGATAAAGGAAAAAGAAGAAGATGACCATGGTGTTCAAGAAACCAAACAAAGATTGTTTCAAAGAGGTAGGCAATATAAGCTGTGTCAAATGCTGATAGGTCTGGAGCACATGTGTCAAACACAAGGCCCGCGGGCCAAATCCGTCCCGCCAGGCCTTGCAATGTGGCCCGCACCGCGCTGTCATCACTGCACTCCGCTGCGTTTCCATCACAATGACAGTTTATGACTGTTCAGTAAACCATTCGGCCCGCGATTTAGGCTGGATTTTAGATTTTGGCCCCTTCTCTGATTGATTTCGACACCCCTAGTCTAGGGAGATGAGGAATGGAAATGGATTAATGCATTTTACAACATGAAGGCCAATGGCGTCCTTGATAGGGACAGGTTCAGTGACATAGTGAGTAGCAAACCTAATTGAAGAGGTCTTGGGAGAGAATGGCAGTAAAGGAAATTGAGCCTTAGAACAGATACCTCTTTTGAGAAGACTTCCTATAAGGGCACAGAAATGTAGTAGCAGCTAAATCTGAATGGAGATGTGTACTCTAATGAAGGTGTGAGTTTTGTTTATTTTGTTTAAGATGGGAGAACTTATGGGAGTGTGCATTGAGTGGGAAGCAGTTGAAGTTTATCATATATTTGGAGAGAATGTATACTGTATAACATGAATATATCAAAGTGCTATGTGAAAACTTTAAAAGAAATCACATATTCCAACAAACACATTTCCTCATTATGAAGTGAATAAGCCAATAGTTACTTTATCACTCAGATAAGTCAATTTTGTTCTTGACAACAGATAGGGGAACCAGAATAAAGACCCACATCTAATGTAATATATGGTATCCCACCACCACCATTATCTTTTTCTCTAGTAGGAAATTCAAGCCTTTCTAGGATTTAGCCCCTCTGTACTACCATATATTTTAAAACCTACCGTACACATATTTCAGGAATGGCCAGAGAAGAATGTAATTCTATTATACGTGCTAGTGGATTTCTTTCTATGTGACTTTTTACATAATTACCAGATAAAAATACCACTTGCAAACTATGCAGAAGTAGCTCCAGGCAGAAAGCCCTGACATCTTTCACAGCATGCTTTTTCAGACTGCACACCAAGGCTTGCCTTGCATACCGATCTCCTGAAGTCTGTATAGCAGGCAATATCTGACACTCATAATCTACATTTCGTATTTTCTTCCAGAATGCAAATATATTTCCTTCTTACTTGGGGGAAAAATAAGAGGTTTTTCTTAGGTACTGGTTCAGGTTCTGATTATCCAAAGTATATTTCTTTTTAGTTGTTGATTCTAACTCAAGCACTTAATTTTTACCTATTCATTATGATGAATGTCAAAGTTACAACCCAACTGGAGTGACATAAATCCTACTGCTGCTTTGTCTTTTCTTGTTAGACATGAAATCCAATAGTAAACATTTGCCCTAAGCTGCTCTCACAACCAAATTAGAAAAACAAGATTAGTTAAAATGACATTTTTAACTCCTAAATATTGTTACGAGATTTCTTTTAAAATGCAAATGACTAATTTAAAGTAATATATTCCATACTGATATGTCCTATTATAAGAAAATGTGAAATGATAATACAAAGCATTCAAAAACAGATATGATAGAGAAAATGGGTACTTTTATAAACAATTTCACAACAGGTTCCCTTTAAATAATGAATTTAGATACTTGCTAAATGTATACGAATTTTATTTACAGGTATATGGTTGGTTGCATCAATACAGCTATTGTGTGAAGCACTGTTCCTCTATAGAGCATTTACAGAAAAGGGAACATGAGGTTGCTCTGGAGTATATTTTACCAAGAAAACTAACTTGTAATGAAACTACAGATGAACATGTTTTCTAAGTAACCTTGTGTACCTGTAAAGCTCTGAAACTAGTATTTGTTTCAACCACAAATGCTAATGATAAATACAGCTGTTTGAAAGTTACCTGTAATATGTCTTAGGAAGTTCTCTTAGGAAGATAGAAAATAAAACAGGGGCAGTATAATAGAGTTGGCAAGGGCACAAATTTAGGAGTCAGACTAGATTGATTCAAATCTGGTTCTAGGGCTTATTTCTTTGTGGAATTAACCTCCTCAAGACTCAATTTCTCACTGATGAAGTAAGAAGTATGCCATAGGCTTGCGTGAGGATTAAATTAAATGATGTATGTATGTAGCAATGTATCAGGCATTTATTGACATCAAATGCTCAAAGAATAAATATTATTATTACCTAGATGAAATATTGGTTTAAAATGCTCACCATTCATTCATTCCTTCACTCACTCACCCCTTCATCAAAGAGTTCCTAAACGTTAGAGTTAACAATAACTATGCTAGGGGCTGACGACACAAAAATGAGTACAGAGTCACTAACTCTTCAGTAAGAGAAGAGAGATGGCAAATAAATAATTGTAGGGCAGTAAATGTTATAACAATGTAGTCCAGGGTGCATGGGAACACAGAGGAAAGAGCAATAACTGCCTCAGTGTAGATAAGGGTTGTTTTGAAAGGAAATTAATGATCAAACTTGCTTTCAAAATAAGCGGAAATTTCTTGCTTTATACCTGGAAGAAATTTGAAGGCAAATGGCTTTCTCCACGTTTCTAAGACCTATAGAATTAGGTAACTCTCCTATTACATGTTTCTTTCTTTGGATTAAAAAAAAAATCAATCTGCTATTACTGTCCTTTTGTGGATCAGAACATGTTGAGAAAAAATAGGGTCTGATCTATGGTCCTGCTGCTTATAGGAAGGTACCCTACAATGTAATGTAGCACAAGGGTCACATCTGTCAATCCATGTGAACAAGTTTGCACAAATGGCTGGAACATAATGGAAAAGTTATGGCTTCCTTTATTTTCATAGGGCTGCCTTTGGTGGTGGAGTCATAGGAAACCATTGCTGTCTTTTCATCTTTATTTGCACCTTCACTAGAATCCTAGGAGTCTGTTTGCATGTCTTTCACTCGAGTGATCCATGATGCCAAGTGTGCTGTAGAGATACCCAGTTGTGTTCAGCATCTTACCCTTTTGAAATTGCCAGGACCCCTTAGCATTACCTTATGACTCCAGCTTTTGCTATTCTGTTTGTAAAAGCTACTCTGGGAGCAAAATACCCTGAAAGTATTTGCTTCTGATTTAGCTTTTCTAAAAACAGAACTCAGAGTTCAAGGCCCTCAGCTGGGAAAGAAGCTGTTCGTCAAGCCCTTTCATCATTGTCCAATGGCCACTCCTCAGTGTGCTGCCCAGGCTCCCAACATTTTCTCCTGAAAAGGCCAAAGCCCTACAGAATTTCTTATGGAGAATTTTTAATGTCAAAGCTATTTTGAAAGCTGTCCAGTTGCCTGCAGAGGTTCTTGGATAACTAGAAGTTAAAGGAGATGACTTTGCATACAACTCTAAACAAAAAGGAGGCAATATGAACTGTTGTTACTATATTAAGTGTGAAGTTAAATATTAGATAAAATAAAACCTAGCCTTTTTGGTACTGTTTTCTCCTTTCTTTCTACTACCAACTATTTGTAAACAAACAAATTCTCTGTCAAAGGCAATATGGTTTACCCCTTTATTAGCCTCAGGAACAATTTTCTATTCATCCTTTAAATGTTACATACATTGTGTTCAAAGATATCTAATTCCATGATGTTAAAGGTGTATGTTAATTTCAAATAAAATTGTGCTAGAATAAATTTAATAAGAGAATGATCTAAATTAAGATTTGACTTTCACTTACCGAAATATAGTGTCTCCTGAGTTACTGTACATCTCACAAAAGAAGATCAATTTATGCATGAAATCTAGCCATTTCTGCCTCTATTTTAATGTTTTAAAAATAATTGTAAAGTATTTAAGTATATATACTATCTGAGTAATTACTAAATAAGTAATGCAAATAAATACAAGACATACCCTTTATTTTTAATGCTTCACTATGTGGCCCCTGCTCAGAACCTACATTTGACTTTTGTATCATTCCTTTCCTGTTTACTATTTGTAACTGAACCAGTTACTATTTATTCCTGAGTATATCTCAGAGTTCTTTGACAGCTAAATAGCCAATTTTATATTTCTGGATTGTTATTTCAGTTAAAAATGAAGAAAGTACTTTTGAATGTAAAAACAAATTTTACTACAGAGAAACTTTTCAGTATAATTTTGGACACAGTATTTTGCTTTGAAGATTGGTTATATCTCACATCATTATCTTTTTGTTGAAGAAAGCCTGTATTCCCAATCACTCAGGCAGCATCCACCCAGGCACCTAGCCAGGAATTGAGGTCATCCCTAACCCCTTTTTCCTTTGGAGAAAGAACCTTTATTTATTCCATCTAACTTAGCTCTCTCTTTTGAACTGATGTTGCTAATCCCTGTTATAACCTATCATGGTACCTTCTCTTCATAACACTTACTGTAGTTTCCAATTACATACTTACTTGGATAAATGTACTTATAGTTTGTTTCCAAGGCATTAGGAACTGTTTTATTGTATACTAGACACCCAGTGTACAAAATTC